TATATATATATATATATATATATATATAAAATATAAAAATATTAGTAAATAGGTTTCATTTATTGCCAAGGCAAAATTTCTCATTTTAGTTAATCTAATATTTATATTTTGAATATTTATTCCAGCTTCACATTACAAAGATGTTTTTGATAGTTTTTGTACCCAATAAATACCCCTTCTTGTGACAGCAATGTAATATGTGTTGTGTTTTTGTCTTCTGTCACAGATTTATATGAATGCAGCATGGCATGGCTGGGCTATACCTTTGTTTCTATTCTTAGCCATTCTGAGGTTGTCACTGAACTACCTCATAGCCAGGTAAGACAATGATTCCTTTCTTACTAGTATGTTATTGAAACTGTGTTAAATATAAAATGTTACCTAAATTGAACAAATTTCAGTTTGTCAAGGTGTTGTATATTAGCGGAAATTTCCAGTCATAAATATGAATGTACTACTATGTCCACTCAGACAGTCATTATCACTGTACATATACAGTACATGTATTAATGCAATGCCTGTATATTATCACAGAATAAACATACATGCATATGTATTTTTTAATATATAGAAACATACTGTATATGTAGCACAAACAAACTGATTTAATACTGTTCTGTTTTTCTTTAGAGGATGGAGAATTCAGTGGAGTATTGTGCCTGAAGTTTCTGAACCTGTGGTAGGAATGTTTTTCCAGGGGAAAATTTGTCAGTGATTTTTTTATTTTGTGCATATTTCATTTTTTCCTTCTTCCAGGAACCTCCAAAGGAAGATCTAACTGTGTCTGAAAAGTTTCAGTTAGTTCTTGATGTTGCACAAAAAGCACAGGTAAATTTACACTTGAATGCTTATAGATTTTCAGACTTTTATTTGAATAAAAACCTGTCCATTGCATGTACACTATTTGTCAAGGACACACTTTACTGTTTCTCCTGATTTTGAAAACTTTTTCATCATCTAAAGCTTTTTGCTATTGTGTATGCATTTCTTTACAAAACTAAAATTTTAGTTTAATTTATAAATTTTTTTGGCCTGAAAGTGAAGGATAAGCAGCCAACAACTGTTAAGCACACATGGAAATTCCTTTAATATTAATTAACAAGTAACCCAGAATGCACCTCATAAAGTTATTTGAGAGAATGCAAAAACTACATGAGCTGTGTGATCTAAAGATTTGTTGTTTTATATTTTTTGGTCACTGCTTAATTCACATTCTTCCGTTCATATTATTTAATAGTTTTTGAGGACTTTTATTTTTATAGTATAATCCGAAAAATAGCCATAATAAATAACTGTTCCTTTTTTAATCTCGGTTGCGATTTGGAGTTTTTATGGACACTTTGCATATTGTTCTTTTTGATCGACGTGAAATTAATGTTTCTGCAGAATCTTTTTGGAAAGATGGCAGACGTTTTGGAGAAAATCAAAAAGTAAGTAGCTCTTTTACATTTTATGGTGATGGAAAAAGTATGAGATGAGAGGACAAATTGTATTTCAATGCTTTTGTGTTCATTCACAAAACTTTTAAGTTTCAAACTTGAATGTACCATTTTTGCAAACAAACACAAAACTGCTGATGGAAATAATATGAGATGGAAAGAAAGTTTCCGCAATAAGTTTTGTGGGAGCATTGAAATATAATCATAACCTGAAGTAAACTAATGAATGTTTCTCCATGTTTGTGTGCGTATGTGTATACATCAGTTTGTTCATGTGGGTTCAGCCTGAGATCACTCAGAAATTGTACATCGCTCTGTGGGTGGCCTTCATCTCCTCCTGCGTCCTGCCCTACAAGCTGATGGGCTTCATGATCGGTAAGATTTATTACCCATAACTCCTCACATGTACGCAGTCACACACAAACAAATGCTGTCAATAAATGGCTTATTGTTGCTTTTATATCAAACATAGACACACTGGGTTTATTTGTGTGCTTTGAGTCATTTTAGCACTGAAGGAAGTATACAGATCAGATAATGGTGCAAACATGCTAACACCTAAACGTAGTTAGCAAGAGCAAGAGACAATTAGCAACAAAGTACACTATAGTTTTTTTAAGTTAATAATTTTATTCAGCATGGATGCATTTTTTGTTTAAGCAAAAGTGACAGATTTTTACATTGTTAAAAAAAAAATCTAGTTAAATAAATACTGCTTTAACTTCTATTCATCAAAGCATCTTTAAAAAAAAAAGTAAGTAAAAATAAAAATTATATATA